TTTCTAAACTGTGTCATAGCTAAGGTGACCAACACATGACTAACTGGAGGGACTCCTGTTGGTGGGACATGGGATTCAATTTATTTTTATTTATATATACATTCATATATGTGTGTGTATTATATACATATGTGCAATGCGTATATATTATTATAAATATACATATATTTTAAAGATATGTCTATTTATATACACATGCATGTATGTATGGGGGGTATGCATGTGTTGTGTGAGGACTCAAAGAGGCCAGGAGGTGTCAGATGTCCTGGAGCTGGAGTTATAGGCAGTTGAGAACCAACCAGTGTGGGTGCTGGGAACCTAACTCCAGTCCTCTGCAAGAACAGCAATTGCCCTTAACTGCAGAATTATCCCTCCAGCCTTTTTGAAACCACTTTTAAACCAGCTCTAGATGAGACAGAAGAGAACCATACTCACGTTCAAGTGCTGCCTCTCGCACTGTGGCAGGACTAACACCAGGGCAGGACTAGCAGGGGTCAGAAACTTTACAAATGTCTTTTAGGGCTGGAGCTATGGCTCGGTCTGTAAAGTGCTTGCTGTGCACACATGAGGACCCATGTTGGATTCCCCAGCACCCATGTAAAAGCTGTGCACAGCAATGTGCCTGAAAGCCCATCGCTGAGAGTCAAATACAGGGCTCGCTGGGGCTCGCTTGGGCTTGCTGGGAGAAAAGTCTATAGAATCAGTGGCAGACCCCGGCTCAGAAAATAAGACGGAGAGAACTTGAAAAGGACTCCCAACATCAACCTAAACCTTACACTTACACAGACAAACAATGTCTTCTAGATTGTAGGTGTGAGAGGAAGCACATACCAATTGTCTCTCAGAGCCTGGTTGGCTTTGCTCAACATGAAGTTCATTCCCCATTCATTTCCCGAAAACTGGCACGATTTCATTAGCCTTTGTGGCTCAATAAAACTCCCTATATGCCTGTGTATCTTCTTCATCCACTGTCTACTGATGGCAGGTAGGCAGATTCCAGAACAAAGCTAATATTGTTTCAATTTAGAATCAACTGTGCCACCCCCTCCAAGTCTTGGGGAACACCACAGAGGAGGGGACAGAAAAAAAGTAAAATCGGAGGGAGGTGGGAATCGGTCCAGAACGTGGTCTTGGGAGCGTGGCACAGTACTGGGACTCTTGGACTCTCAGCAGCAGTTGGATGTGATTACCTGAAGAGGTCTACTCTAGACTGAGCCCATCAAGACCCCATCCTAGAGGAGGGAAGAACTCAGGAGGCTCCACTCCTCCCTAAAGATAGGTAGACATTTTCTTCAGTGTTGTAGCCTCTGGTGAGTTGTCCGTGCTCCTGTAAATACCCCCTACCCTGCTCTTGTAGGCAACCTTATATGAACTCATTGGTTCCCAAAACAAGCAAACAAATAAATGCATAAAGGCACGAGACAGAAAGACGGCTGGGGCGTGTAGGCTTCTGGTCAAGCCAAGAACACATGAGATGAACGTCAGATTCAAGGAGAAACCCTGCTTCAAAAAAACAAGTGGAAAGGGCTGGAGAGATGGCTCTGTAGGTAAGAGCACTGACTGCTCTTCCATAGGACCTACGTTCAATTCCCAGAACCCACATGTCAGGATCTGATGATGTCCTTTTCTGGCCTCTGTGGGCACCAAGTATGCATGCAATGCACAGACATAAATTCAAACAAAACACCCATACACATAAAATAAAAATCTAAAAATGATGTTTTAAGGTAGGGAGTGGTAGAGGGTGCCCAGTGCCCTCTTTTGACCTCTCCATTCACACACAGGCAGCGCACCTGTGTATAGAAATGGGCCAGGGGAGAGAAATAACAAAATAACCATTTGTGCATTTAAGTACATGGGAAATTTATTTCATTTTTAAAAGAAAATGTTTACAGGAATGTTATGCAAAATTGGAAATGACTCAAATGTCTTATAATAGGAGTTTAATTATAAATGATGTGTGTTCCTATATCCCATAACCACCAAAAATAGTGTTAGAGAAGGCCATCTGCCCTCAAGAAGCATGTCCTTGAAAGTCACTGAATGATTGGCACATGAGCACAAAAAAAGTCTCCAGTTTTGTTGTTATTGCCACTTTTTGGTTCTGTTTTGATTTTTTGCCAAAGAGAGACTCCAGGCTACTTAGGAAGATGTCGTTCTAGGCATTTCTACACCTCAACACTGAGTATAAATAGGGCTTTTTTGAGTTATAATGGAACAGTGTCCAAATATCCTCATCATACACTTAAAAATGCCAACAATTTTGAGGGGCTGGAGGGGTCACGTGGTAAAGCCTTGACCTGAGTACCACTAAGCTGGGTATACTGGTTGCACTGGTAATCTCCACATTGAAAAGCTGGAGACGGGGGAATTCCTGTGGCTCACTGCCCAAACAACCAGGCTACCTTAACCAGTGAGCCTCGCACGCCAGTGAGAAACCTTGTCTCATAATGAGGTAGATGGGCCCAGTGTCGACCTCTGACCTTCACATACGCACACAGCCATGTGTACCTACATAGATATATGTATATATTCTTTTGTGTATATGATATGTGTAGGGAGACACCCTAGCCCCGCCCCAGGTAACCCGTACAGGTGTGCTGGGACACGCCCATGAGGGCGGGGTGAGGGGAAGTCTGAGATGACATAGAAGGAGGTTCTTAAAGAGCTGAGCACACGTGGAAAGACCCTTCTCTCTGGCCACACTAGCTTTCGACCTGTGGGCACGCTCTGGCTTGCGTTTGGGCTGGTGTTTATCTGAATAAAGAAATCTTAGCCTTACGGACTATGGATCATCTTTGAGCACACACGGCATGCAATAATCTTCAGATATGTAATTATAGATAATATTTAATATGTATATTCTTTTGTGTGTACTATATATAATATATTTCTAGCCCCGTGTGCTATGGGATATTTGTACACTGTTGAGACTGTATTGCTGTGATTGGAGTTATAGGCGGGACTTCTTGGCAGAGAGAGAACTCTGGGAAGAAGGCAGAGTCACCAGCCAGAAGCAGAGGAGGCAGAATGAGCAGTATGGAGAGATGAGGTAATGAGCCACGCCACAGAAATATTAAATAAATGGGTTAAGTTATAAGAGATAGTGGGAGGAGCCTAAGCTAAGGCCAAGCAAGCGTTCACAATTAATAAGTCTCTGTGTTGTTATTTGGGAGCTGGTGGTATAGCCAAAGTGTCGTTACACCCATGGGCACCAAAGTTAGGCTGTGGTAGGGCCCCAGGGGATTGGGAAGGAAGGACTGAGCTTGGCCCAGCTATCCATCCTTCCTCTGACATGGAGGAAAGCCAGGCACAAGTTGGCACCCTGGAGTCTGCCTGACTGTACCCCAATTAAACTTTATCTGTATTTGTTTGGCCACAAATAGCTAGTAGTACTTGCTCCGTATCAGAGCCAGAAGAAGAAATGGGCCATACCTCATGAGGGTCCCTAATTCCCCATCCAGCCAAGGTGAACAGGAACCTAAGTCAGGACCCACAAACATGGCGGATCATTAGGAACATAAAGAACCACATTCTCAAAGTGCATAAAAAGGGGACCAGTTGGCACAGAGCAGTTGGAGGTGAGAACAGAAACACCCACAGCTCCTATAGCCTAGGTGACTAGGGCCCCATGCCCTACTTACCCTCGTCACAGTTACTGCCAGTAAATCCCGGGCAACACCTCCACTCCAGCGCGGTCACCGTGCGGTAGGAAACCCGGTAGGTCGGTCTGATGAGAGTCCTGTAACTAACACAAGACGAGGTCAGAGGGGCATGCACCCCTGCCCAACCGCCTCAGACTGGCTGCTGGAGGTACTAGGCCTACTTAGAGTTTGGGAGGTCACCAGGACAGTGCACCTGTCACCTCAGCTTTATGCTCACTGCTCTAGACAGATCACCAGCCCTAGAAACCCAGGCAGTGATCAGAGACTTCCAGACTGCACTGGTTTCTCAAACCCCTCACTAGAGGATGCCCGGCAGGTGCTAGGCAGGTGCTCTAACACTGAGACATGCCCTGGCCTCCACCAACACCTCACTGGGGCATTCTAGGCAGGTGCTCCACCACTGAGACATGCCCTCCAGCACTGGGGGACTCTAGACAGGCATTCTCCTATTAAACACTCTCAGCCCTGTCTTTAAGACAGGGTTTTACTAAGTTGCCTAGGATGGCCTTGAACATACTCTGTATCTTCCCAGGTAGGCCTTGAGCATGCCCTCTTCTGGCCTCTGCCCCTGAGTACCTGGTCTGCTCACTGTACTGGCTGGTTGTGTGTCAACTTGACACACACAAGCTACAGTCATCAGAGGAAGGAGCCTTGGTTGAGAAAATGACTCAATGAGATCCAGTGGTAAGGCATTTTCTCAATTAGTGATCAATGGGGGAGGGCCCAGCCCACTGTAGGTAGTGTCATTCCTGGGCTGTTGGTTCTGGGTTTATAAGAAAGCAGGCTGAGCAAGCTATGGGAAGCAAGCCAGTAAGCAGCTCCCACCATGGCCTCTGCATCAGCTCCTGCCTCCAGGTTCCTGCCCTGCCTGAGTTCCTGAGTTCCTCCAATGATGGACTATGATCTGGAAGTGTAAGCTAAATAAACCCCTTCCTCCCCACATTGCTTTTTGGTCATGGTGTGTTGTTGCAGCAATAGAAACCCTGACTAAGATACTCATCCAAGCATGTGCCACAGAACTGGCTCATCCCTTCCTTTCTCCAATGCACCAGCTGTTGTGAGGAAATGTCTTACATTCTTGAGTAAGTAATATTGGCGTTGTACTGTGGTAGGGACAGGTGCTCGCCCCATTTCAATTAAAACTCGGACAGCCACAGTAGACAGTCCTAGACACATCGAGAAGGTTAAAAGCAAGGAGGGCTGGGGGGACAGCTTAGTCGGTAACATGCTTGCCTTGCGCATACAAGATGTGAGTTTGATCTGCAGAACCCCATTAAAAAGCCAGGCGTGGTGGGGTGCATTCATGATCCTAGTACTCAATGGAGTCAGAATTCCTGAGGCTTGCTGGCCAACCAGTCTACCCAAATTGGTGAGGTTCAGACTGAGTCTCGAAAAGTAAGGTTGAGGGGCTGGTATAAAGGTATGATGGGTAAATAGGAATTTTCTGCCAAGGCTAATAACCTGGATTTAATCTCCCAGCCTCACATTGGAAGAAGAGAACCAACTCCTAGTCTCTGTTGATACATGTGCACCGTTCATGCATGCACATGCACACACGCTCAAAACACACACACAGACACACACACAGCAAAGTTAAAAATGAAATCGAGTCCACACCTGTTATCCCAGCACTGGGGGAGGGTGAGGCTGGAGGATCTCACGTCTAAGGCTAGCCTAGGCAATTCATAGTGGGACCCCGGCCCCCCAAAACACAAACAAACAAAAGACACCTATATGAGCAAACATCACAAGCCCAGCTTCATGTGTGTTGCTTCAACTTTCTACCCAAACATGTCTGCACCAATCCCCCTTTCAGGGAAGACTGCATGACTTCACAAACACTTAAATCCACTGACATGGGGGTGACTCAGTTGGCAAATGGAGAAATGATGAAATATTTGGTAGCGGCATCTGGAGCTACCCTGTTGACAGGAAAACACACATATTACAGCCCATTCTAAAATTGGATTTCAGAAATAGTGCCCTGCTTGTGGGAATTCTTGAACGTCCCTTCCAAGTCCTGTTTCAAAAGCACTCCAGTGTTCAGCTACAAGCCCCTGCTTTTCTCGGGGTGGGAAAGCTCCCTCTACACACTGTGCCGCATGCTGCCCCTCCCTCTCCCAGCCTCTGAGCCCTCACAGGTCCACATCTTCCGTGATGATGCTGGTCAGGATCCTAGTACAGGACTGGAGAGATGGCTTAGCGGGTATGCTCACCATTCAAGCTTGAGGACCTGAGTTAAAACCCCCAGCACTCATGTAAAAATGTGGTGCTATGCGTTTGTAATCCCAGAGTGGGGGAGGTAGAGACAGGAGGACCCCTGAGCTCACTGCCCAGCCGGTCTAACCTACTTTCAAGTTCCAAGCCAGTGAGGGATGCTGTCTCAAAATAGGCGGTCAGGGGGCTGGAGAGATGGCTCAGTGACTAACATCACTTACTGCTCTTACAGGTTCAGTTCCCAGCACCCCGCTCACAACCATAACTCCACTTCTAGGAGATCAGACTCCCTCTTCTAAACTCTGAGGCAGCACACACACGGTGCACATATAAACATGCAAGCAAAATATGTGCACACATAAAATAAATCTTTTAAAATTCTTTTGAGGGACTGGAGAATGCCCCAGTGATTAAAAATACGTTCTGCTCTTCCTAGTTTAATTCCTAGCACTCACATTGGGCAGCTCACAACTGCCTGTAACCCCAGCCCGGGGGACCCAATGCCTCTGGCCTCTGCGACCACCTGCACTCATGTGCACACACTCATACTCAGAGACACATCAGATACTTCATTGAAAACAATTTTTAAAATCTTTGTTTGTAAAAATAAAATAATTTAAATTTAAAAATTCTTTTAAATTTTTTTGTTTTGTTTTTTGAGATAGGGTCTCAAACAAAACAGGCCTGTCCTGGCACTCACTCTGTAGAACAGGCTGGCCTTAGACTCACAGAGATCCTCCTGCCTCTGCCTCTCCAGTGCGCCACCACCACCCGGCCTCTTTAATTGTTTTTTAAAGTGGACAGAATCCAAGTGCAATTTTACATGTGCACAAAAGTAATTATTATCACAATACAGAACATTTAACAATACTTTATTTTTATTGTGCAGAGAAGACTGTGCACATACCACAGCATACAAGTAGTGATCACAAAACAACTATCAGGGGTGGGCTTTCCCCTCCCACTGTGTGGGTCCAGAGAATCAAACTCAGGTCCTCAGGCCTAGCAGCAAGCACCGTTACCCCCTGAGCCAGCTCACTGGCCCTAATACAGTAAACTGAGAGTCAATAACAGCAGTGGAGTACTGTGGCAAGTGGTTTATATGCGCTCCTGTGGAACATGGCAAGAGGTAGAGACCATTATTGTTCTAAACTTGATGTGAAGAAACTGAGGCAGGAAAATGTTAAGAAACTTTCACAGCAGCAATGCTACAAGTCCGTAGCACTATGAACTGAGCAGGAGGAATCCTTCCACGACCCAATTGTTCTATCCAGGCTATCTGGTGCCAGGGAGCACTTTTCCTTCCAGAAGCTGCCTGAGGCTTCTTCTTTCAGGCCCCGAATGCAGGGGGAGAGCTTGTCCTTCAATACAGACCCCCTCTGGTCCTTATTCTCGGGGACATGCTGCTGGCTGGTGGCACACAGGGGCCCAGAACTCTGTAAAGCTCCTACTGGACCACAATGGCAAGCACATGTTCTACCAGTTGGTGGCGCTGTTTCACCAGCCTGGCCGACCAAGGCTCGGTTTGAGGGACAACTATGTCTCCTGGATATCCAGAAGGCTTCATGGATTTGTGAGCTATTTGCCTATGTAAGGCGGAACATGAGGGTGCTCCATCCCCCTGTCAAACCTCCTACCCCTGGCCTTGCACACGAAGGCTCCCCTCCCTATATGTCTTTCCTTCCTCTTCCCAAAGACAGTGAAACTTGATTGTTTTCTCCTGTGTGAAGCCCCTCTGTCCCCTGGGCAGAGTGACAACCTCCCCCTTTTCCCCTGCCAGCACATCTTGTGAGAGACTTGGTTATACATCATTCCTACACTCAGCAAACAATTGCCAACAGCCTGCTTTGTGCAAGTGATTGGAATATTAGTGAACAAGGTACCAGGCAAGGTGGCTCACACACTTTAACCTCAGCTCTCAGGAGGCAGAAGCAAGTAGATCTCTGAGTTCAAGGCCAGTCTGGTCTACATGGTAACTTGTAGCTATATAATAAGACTCTGGCTGTCCTGGTTAGAGTTTCTATTGTTGTGATGAAACACCAAGTTGAGGAGGAAAGGGTTTGCTTGGCTCACACTTCCACATCAGAGTGCATCGCCGAAGGAAGTTGGGACAGGAACTCAAGCAGGGCAGGAACCTGGAGGCAGGAGCTGATGCAGAGGCCATGGAGGAGCGCTGCATACTGGCTTGCTCTCCATGGATTTCTCAGACTGCTTTCCTATAGAACCCAGGACCACAAGCCCAGGAGTGGCACCACCCACCATGGGCTGGACCTTCCCCCATCAATCACTAACTGAGAAAATGCTTTACAAGGGCCAGAGAGATGACTCAGTGGTTAAGAGCACTGGCTGCTCTTCCGAGGTCCTGAGTTCAATTCCCAGCAACTATATGGTAGCTCACAACCCTCTGTAATGAGATCTGGTGCCCTCTTCTGGCCTTCAGGCATACATGCAGATAAAACATTGTACTAAATAAATAAATCTTTTTTTAAAAGGAAGAAAGAAAAAGAAAATGCCCTACAGGCTTGCCTCCAGCCCTATCTTATGGAGACATTTTCTTAATTGAGATTCCCTCCTCTTCGATGACTTTAGCTAGTGTTAAGCTGGCATAAAACCATCCAGCACACTGGCCAAAAAACAAAAGATAATATACAAAGCAGGCAAAGAAGAGTGAGAAGCCAACAGATGGGTGTGATGAAGGAAGATGCTGACTTTCTCCAGTTTTGTTTGTGTATGTGTATAAGTGTGTGTGCATACCACAATGTGTGCATGTGTGTGTATGTGTGTGAGAGAGAGAGAGACAGAGACAGAGACAGAGACAGAGACAGAGGGGACAACTTGTGGGAGTCAGTTCTCTCCTTCT